TAGTAGTCGTAGTAAGTAGTAGTAGTAGTAGTAGTAGTAGTAGTAGTAGTAGTAGTAGTAGTAGTAGTAGTAGTCTACGGCAAAGCCCCCCCACCGAGCGGCGGCACGGCCGCTGGGCTCGAGGGCGCTGAGACGATGACGCAAGCGGACTACCGCGCGGCGGGCTACGTGCACTGCATGGGTGCGTACTGGCTCCCGCCGCAGCGCCTGGGCTGGTGTCGTGAGTGCGCAGCGCTGGATGACTGGAAGGTCATGATGGTGGAGTACGTGGACGAGCTCAACCGTGGCGAAATGCGCCGCTACAGCGAAGCTTCAGAGCACAACCCGCAGTGCCCCAAGCTGCGGAAGGGTGAGCGAGGCCAATACAAGCTGTACACGTGCTCGCGCTGCGTGGCGGCGGCGCAGGGCATCCCCGAGCACGAGGCTGTGACGCTCGCGGCGCGCCAGAACAAGGGAGCTGGCTCCATTGCCCACGCCGCCAAGCGCGTGGCGAAGTTCCGCGCGAGCTTCGACCACATCAAGGAGGGCATGGACGTGCTCGTGGGCTACGCGCTCTCCAACGACGGCTTGCTAGCCCTGCGGAGGCCGACGGAGGGCGTCGGGGTGGGCATCGCTCCCGAGAGCGCGGGCGCCCTTCCGGCCACGGAGACGGCGGCGCAGGAGGTCGGTCGCCCGATGGCGGTGGAGGTGGTGCCGGGGCCGCCCCGCGCGCCACCTCCACCATTCGAGGACGGACCTGGCACCGCAGACCCTCCCCGCGGCGATGATAGCGACCCCCTGCTCGACAACAACGCCGAGTGCCAGGAGCACCAGCTGGTCGACGCCAAGACTGTGGAGGAGGTCGCGGATGTCGAGCCCCTGCTGCGGCTCGGCCTCTCCAAGAAATCGCTGAAGCGCATGGCGCGGGCCTGCGGTGCCCTCAAATTCGAGACCACGCGCGCCCACGAGCTGGGAGGCATGGGGCCCATCCTGGAGAAGAAGGAGGACATGATGAAGGGCGCGGCGGCGCAGGACGGAGTTCAGGAGTGGCTCGGCGCGCTGGGCGTGGAGGCAGAGGCTGATGTGGCAGGGGTGAAGAAAGGCCTCCTGGAGGCCTCGGAGATCGCGGGCGCGCACCTGGGACACAAGCGCGCGTGGAAGGAGGAGCGCCAGGGCAACGCCATGGCGCAGGAGGCCTACCGACGGATGGGCGACTACACGGACCAGCTCTACCGTGGCAAGGGCTTTACGTTCAACATGTACTACAAGTGCTCGGCCAACAAGACCTGGGACAATCCCAAGGGATGCTGCTCGGTGATCCGTTCGGATCGCTGGGCGCAGCTGCTCACCTGCGCGCAGGAGGCGGCGGGGGAGTCCGGCCAGCGCTGGCACTGCCGCTGTGGCGCGCGCTACGCGACCCCCCGCGGCGTCTGCGTCGAGATGATCGAGGAAGAGCTGAGCCCGCCCCGCGCGTACTACATGCACGCGGACTTCCCTCAGGAGGACATCCGCAATTTGAAGGCCCTACTGCGTTGCGACAAGCTCAAGAAGGAGGGGGTAGCGGTGCTCAGCGTTGTGGACCTCCTGAAGCACCTGCCCAGGGTCGAGCCGCTGGCGGTGGGCGCCGTCTTTAAGCGCTACGCTCCGCTGCAGCCGCAGCGGGGGGGCCACTACGTGCTCATGGACGGGCTCTCCTGGGACGACCTGCCTGAGTTCGAGTGGTCCGGCTTGCACTCGCAGGTTGCCTGGGGGCTGAACGATCCAGCCTGGGCGAGCTACAGCAAGAACCAGCGGAAGAAGGCGAAGAAGGAGCGCCTGGCGGCCGCGCACGCGGAACTGGAGGCCTATGAGCGCCGCCACTACCTCCGGGAGGGCAGCCTCACGGGCGGCGGGGGTGGTACCGGGGTCGCCCCGCGTGCCACTCCCGTCCGCGCCGCCAGTGCCCCCCCCGCTGGCTCGGCCCGCGGCAGCCAGGCCCCGCCGCCGCCGCCTGCTGGAGCCCCGCAGGCGGCCATCATGGCCCCGCCGCCGCCGCCGCTGACGGCGCCCCCTGCGGTGCCGCCGCCGCCGGCTGGCCCGCCCCCGCAGCAGATCCCCAATGCCGCCGTCCTGAACGTGGCCCTCGGTGAGGATCTCGAGCGCCAGATCTTTGGGCCCCCAGGGCAGGCTGGCGGTAGCGGTGATCTCGGGGGAGAGGTGCAGGCGCTGCCGTCGCAGGTCTTCGCAGCCATTGCGCAGGGGACAGGCCAGTCCGCCTGAGCGCTGAGACTCTGCAGGCCCCCAGCATCGTTTACTTCTGAGCCCTCGGGCGGGCTACGTGAGTTCCCGCGTTAAGATTCCGAGCCTGCCACTCTCTATGATGCTGCGCCTGTGTGCTCGTTTACGCTCCAGCTTTAGCAGCGCCGCCGTGCCAGCTTGCGCGGGTGCGCCCACAGTGGTGCCCCCCCTCGCGCCGCGGGCCCTGCTGCTTAGTTCTTTGTTCATCGCACGGTCAACTGTGCGCCTAGCCATTTTGGCTTGCCATCCTGGCCTCTCCTCGCGCCCACTTGCGCTCGTTGGCCTCGATGGCGGTGCTGGGGTCGCCCCGTGTGCTGCTGTGCCGCCGCTGTCGCTTTACTCTGGGCCGTGGGGACCAGTTGCCCTCGGATAAGCGCCCGCCGCTGCATGCGCGTCAGACCCGCCATTTCACCCAGAAGAGGTGCTCGCTATATACTGGAAATGAGGCAGCCACAAGGACGCTCATCCCAAGGCGGTTGAGCCGTGGTGATGTGGTGCACGTGTCCGAGTAGTAGTAGTAGTAGTAGTAGTAGTAGTAGTAGTAGTAGTAGTAGTAGTAGTAGTAGTAGTAGTAGTAGTAGTAGTAGTAGTAGTAGTAGTAGTAGTAGTAGTAGTAGTAGTAGTAGTAGTAGTAGTAGTAGTAGTAGTAGTAGTAGTAGTAGTAGTAGTAGTAGTAGTAGTAGTAGTAGTAGTAGTAGTAGTAGTAGTAGTAGTAGTAGTAGTAGTAGTAGTAGTAGTAGTAGTAGTAGTAGTCGTAGTAGTAGTAGTAGTAGTAGTAGTAGTAGTAGTAGTAGTAGTAGTAGTAGTAGTAATAATAATAGTAGTAGTAGTAGTAGTAGTAGTAGTAGTAGTAGTAGTCGTAGTATGAGCAGTGGTACTAATAGTAGTCGTCGTCGTCGTAGTAGTAGGGAGGGACAGAGGGGGAAGGAGGGAGGCAGAAGGAGAAAATGAGGAGGGACAGAGGGAGGCGGCTCCAAGAGATTCTTCGGCGGCTCCAAGAGGCTTTTCGGCGGCTCGAAGAGGCTTTTCAGCGGCTTGAGGAGGTTCGGGGAGCTTGAGAGGCTCTTCGGAGAGCCCCAGAGGCTCTTCCGAGAGGCTCTTCGGTGACTTCGGAGAGCCCCAGAGGCTCTTCCGAGAGGCTCTTCGGTGACTTCGGAAAGCCCCAGAGGCTCTTCCGAGAGGCTCTTCGGTGAAGGGGGGGGGGAGGAGCCTCTTGGGAGACCCCCCCTTCACGCTTACTCGCTGATTAACACCCTCTGGAGGAACCCTGGCCATACTAACGCCCACCGGGCCGCACTAAAAACCAATGGGCCGCAGTAACACCTTATCTCCCCGCCTACCCCCCTCCTCTCTCTCATCCCTCCTCTCTCCGCCCTGGTCAACGTCGTCGTCGTCCTCCTCCTCCTCCTCCTTCTCCTTAACCCTGTCCTCCTCATCCGTACTCGCTCCCTTCTCCTCCTGCCCTCTCCCGGTGCTTGCTCACTTCCAGGAGAAGAAAAAAGATGGCAAGAGGGAGGAATAATGGGGCCAGAGGGAAGGGAAAGCGAGGATGGGGAAGCGGGAGAAGGAAGGAGGAGGAGGACCAGGAGAGGAGGACCAGGGAGGGATGGAGTAGGGGGAGAAGGAGGAGGAGGTGAGACACGAGGGCGGAGGGAGGGAATATGAAGAAGATGGATGCGATGATGATGCTGCTGATGGTTATGAGAATGATGGTGATGCTGGTTATCATGATGATGATGATGATGATGATGATGATGATGATGATGATGATGATGATGGTGATGATGATGACAATCACAATGACGAGGACGGGGACGACGATGATGATGCTGATGATGATGATGATGATGATGCTGGTGATGATGACGATGATGGTAATGATGATGCTGATGCTGAGAATGTTGATGATGCTGATGCTGATGATGACGACGATGATGACGATGATGGTGATGGTGATGTTGAGGATAGTGATGATACTGCGGATAATGATGCTGATGATGATAATAGTGGTCATGCTGATTTTGATGATGTCGACGACGACGATAATGATGCTGATGCTGGTAATGTTGATGATGCTGATGCTGATGATGACGACGATGATGACGATGCTGATGTTGATGCTGATGCTGATGATGCTGATGCTGATGCTGCTGCTGATGCTGATGATGGTGACGGTGATGATGACGATGATGATGATGATGGTGGTGGTGGTGATGGTGATGATGATGCTGATGATGATGACGATGATGCTGATGCCGATGATGATACTGATGCTGATGTTGATGATTACAATGATGATGATATTGATGCTGATGATGCTGCTGATGATTATGATGATGAATATGGAGACGATGGTGATGCTGTTGATGATGCTGTTGCTGACAATGATGCTGATGTTGTTGATGATGATGAGGATGCTGATAGGGATGATGATGATGAATCTGCTGATGATGATGATAATGATGATGATGATGATGATGATGATGATGATGATGATGATGATGCTAGTACCGATGATGTCGACGGCGACGACGATGATGATGATGTTGAGGAGGAGGAGGAGGAGGAGGAGGAGGACGATGCTGCTGCTGAAGATGCCGCTGCTGCTGATGCTGATGATGTTGCTGCTGAGGCTGATGATTGTGCTAATGCTGTTGCTGATGCTGCTACTGCTGATGCTGTTGATGTTGATGATGATGATGATGATGATGATGATGATGATGATGGTGATGATGGTGATGATGATGCTGCTGATGATAATGATGATGGTGGTGATGATGATGGTGATGATGATGGTGATGATGATGATGATGATGTTGATGATGATGATGATGATGATGATGATGATGATGATGATGATGATGATGATGGGGAGGAGGAGGAGGAGGAGGAGGACGAGAAGGAGGAGAATGATGATGATGATGATGAGGAGGAGGAGGAGGAGGAGGTTGAGCAGGAGGAAGAGGAGGAGGAGGAGGAGGAGGAGGAGGAGGAGGAGGAGGAAGAGGAGGAGAAGGAGGAGGAGGAGGAAGAGGAGGAGGAGGAGGAGGAGGAGGTTGGAAGAGAACGACAAACGCGTCACCGCTTCATGGCCAGGTCTTCATCCTCCCAGAGGGTCCCAAGCCTCCAGTCTCGAGGTTATCATCTCAATGCTGGAGGCTGCAGGTTAGAAGCTTCCGTTCTGGTTGCTTCGAGCCCTGCAGGCACCACCTCCTCCAAAATTACTCAGTATGAATACTACTCTCCCTCTTCCCCTGATGACGTCTTGGGAGTGTTCGCCCCCCCCCTCCCCCCCCCCCGCGTATGGTTTTTTACACACAGGTTTCCCCGGAGTTAGGTTTTCGCTTACATTTTTGTCCAAAATGCTGCTCTCGCTGAGGCGCCAGCCTCATTTTCGGGCCCCGCTCGTTCCGAATCGTGCTCCCGCTGCAGCGTTGGCATCATTTCCGCCGGCGCCTGGGCTGCACGCCCGAGCCGGCGCCCGGGCCAGCGCTCGGGCCGCCGGGTCCAGAGCTGGTTCCGGCCGCCCCCGGAAAATGGAGTTCCGAGGCGGCGCCGAAAAAAGGCAATTCTAATACACATTTTTCTTTTGAAAATTGTAAATTTCTGCTTCCGGCGCCCGGGAGGCCTCCTGCAGGGCCGATTCCGACGCCCGGGCCGGCGCCCGAGCCGGCGCCCGGGCGGGACGCCCGAGCCGGCGCCCGGGCCGGCGCCCGGGCCGGGTCCGGAGCCGATTCCGGCCAACGCCGGAAAATCGAGTTCCGAGGCGGCGCCGAAAAAACGCCATTCTAATACACATTTTTCTTTTGAAAATGCTGAATTTCTGCTTCTGCCGCCCGGGAAGCCTCGAGGGCCGATTCTGGCGTGCTTCCGCTCGTTCCGAATCGTGCTCCCGCTGCAGCGTTGGCCTCATTTCCGCGCTTCCGCTCGTTTCGACTCGTGCTCCCGCTGCAGCGCTGGCGTCATTTCCCGTGCCATACCACGGCATACAATGCAATGTTAATTAGGTTGATACTACGCTTCGCGGTGCTCTTCTACGCCATGCCACGCCGTGCTCTACAACGCATCGCGTACCCTTTCGGGATCATTGCCCTGCTCGACATCCGACTGTGCGAGTAGAGAGGGGATTTGCGCCATGGTAAGCGATGGGAGGGAGGGGTAGGATGTCAGATATGACGCGAGCGCACCTAGCTTGTCCCTCCCCCTCCCCGTCCCCCTCCCCCTCACTCTCCTCCCCCTCCTCCTCCTCCTCCTCCTCCTCGTCCTCCTCCTCGTCCTCCTCCTCCTCCTCCTCCTCCTCCTCCTCCTCCTCTTCCTCCGCCTCCCCCGCACAATTCCCAAACTGCTCCGAGAGCCACCAGGTCCCGCCAGACAGGGCGCTGTACCCGCACCCGTTCGGCGAGGTGTCGCCGTGGGACGGGCAGCAGTTCAGGTGTTCCGTGAAGAACTCGTTCCTGCATTTCAGCGATGGGCATCAGCATCAGGATCGCGTCAGGGACGCAAGAAGAGACGGCGGAGGAGGAGGAAGAGGAGGAGGAGGAGGATGAGGAGGACCAGTGTAAACCTAAGACCCTTCAGCGATGTTGCAACACACTCTCCCTGCAAGTTCCCTCTTCACAGGCTCCTATCAGCATCTATTTGCACTGCAGGAAGAGCCCCTTGGGAAGACAACCGTTTAAACATCTTGAACCGTGCCACTCACCATTCTTAAAACTTCAACGCCGCGAATCAACGTTACCGATGCTATCTGACGATCGGTATCGTGCCACAGCACCATTTCTGGGACGTCAACACAGCGAATCACTTCATTGTCGCGACCTGACAGCCATAATTCGTGCCCGGGCACAGTTTCCGGGACGTCAGCCATAAAAATGTTTGAGCCTGCTGTTAAATTTGAACACGAATATGCGTTGCGCTACGGCTAGAACCGCATTTTGAAGGCGACCCGCCCTCCATCCGTGAAGTTCAGGAAGACTTCTGCGACGAATGTGCGCGGCGCTATGGCGAGAGCCGCATTTGAACACGACCCGCCCTCCATCCTGGAAGCTCTTGCGCACTTTTAGAACGAATGTGTGCTGCGCTGAGGCGAGAGCCACATTTTGAAAACGACCCGCCCTCCTTTCGTGAAGCGCTGACAAACTGAATAAACGAATGTGCGCGGCGCTGCGGCGAGAGCCGCATTTTGAACACGACCTGCCCTCCATCCTTCAAGCTCTTGCGAACTTTTAGAACGAGTATGCGCTGCGCTGAGGCGAGAGCCGCATTTTGAAAGCGACCCGCCCTCCATTCGTGAAGCGCTTACAAATTTTAACAACGAATGTGCGCTGCGCTGCGGCGAGAGCTCCATTCCACACTTTGGCTTATCCAAGGGGGTCTCATTTGATTAAAGATAGGTGTCTCGGGACCCTACTTTGCTTGTTCCCCAGAGATTTCCTGTGTTCCCCAGCTTCCCCGCCCCCAGTGTCTCGGGACCCCGTTCTCCCGGGTTCCCCGGGTTCCCCGGGTTCCCCGGGTTCCCCGCCCCCGGTGCCTCCTGTTGATACGTTGCCCGTTGCCTGGAGGTGCCCCGAGTTTCCTGAGTTCCTCAGGTTCCCCGCCCCCGGTGCCTCGTATTTCCCCAACTAGGCTTGCCTAAGGGGTTCTTACCTGGTTAAAGATTCCCGACCTAGGCTTGCTTATAAGGGGTTCTTAGTTGGTTATAGATTGGTGTCTCGGGACCCTACTTTGCCCGTTCCCCTGAGATTCCTTGGGTTCCCTGGGTTCCGCGGGTTCCTCGGGTTCCTCGGGTTCTTCGGGTTCCCCGAGTTTCCCGGGTTCTCCAGGTTCCTCGGGTTCCTCGGGTTCCCTGGGTTCCCCAGGTTCCTCGTGTTCCTCGGGTTCCTCGGGTTCCCTGGGTTCCTCGGGTTCCTCGGGTTCGTTGGTTTCCCCAAGCAATGCCAAGCAATGCCAAGTAATGCCAAGCAATGCCAAGCAATGCCAAGCACTGCGAAGCAATGCCAAGCAATGGCCAAGCATTGCCAAGCAATGCCAAGCAATGCCAAGCACTGCGCCCATGCAATAGGAAGCTTTCCCCTGATTGGGTTCGCGCTGGGTTCATTTTGAAAACGACCCGCCCTCCATCCGTGAAACTGTTGCAAATGCCACGCTTCAGTACCATAAATGATGAGGAAATGCCTAGTCCGCCTTACCGACCAGTGTCGTGGTGCGACAGGGAGTTCTTTATCAGGAAGAGGGATGGGGGAGGAGGAGGAGGACGAGGAGGAGGAGGAGGAGGAGGAGGAGGAGGAGGAGGAGGCGAAGGCGGAGGCGGAGGAGGAGGAGGAGGAGGATGAGGAGGAGGAGGAGCAGGAGGAGGAGGAGGAGACCTGAGCTCTGCAGGAAGAGTCCATGGCCACCGAGAAGGAGGGCTCCTCGCAGCGCTCCAGCTCGGTTCCGAGCCGCTTCCTGGAAGAGCACATGGAAGATTGGCACAGGCCGGCGGCGGATGAACGAGCACGCTGCGGTTTTCCTCTCGCCGCCAGCGGCTGCACCCACTCCAAAGTTGAGGCGTCGGCGTCGACGTCTATTCGAGGGGCAGTTTCCTCAACCGTGATACCTGAAGTTCGGAGGTCCTGGGAACGTTTGGGAGCACCTGGGCCTCTTCCTCCCCTGCTTCCATTCTCCATTCTCCTCCTCCTCCTCCTCCTCCTCCTCCTCCTCCTCCTCCTCCTCCTCCTCCGTGGGCAATCTGGTCTCGCTTCCCCTCCCCTTCCCTCCTTTCCCTCCCTCTCCTTCCTTCCCCTCTCCCTCCCCGGTCCCTCCCTTTCCCTCTCCTTTCCCTTCCTCCTCACCTCCTTCCCCTATCCCTTCCCCTCTCGCGCCTTTCTCCCCATCCAGAGTAACTCAAATGGAATACCACCCTCCTGTTGTCCCGGACTCTGTGCGAGCGGGGCGCCGCTTCGCTTGCAGATTGCTTTCATGTGTAGAAACAAATACTGTGCCGTTTACGAGTGTCTTTCCTTCGCGGCAGGGGGTGGCTCCGAAGCCGTTGTGGTTCCTTTTCCCCGCTGTCAGCGAGCGCGGCCGATGGACCAGGGGTGGTCCGGACTCCCCCCGGTCCTCGCGGCGGTGCTGCGCTGGATCGGGGCCAGTGTGCTCGGCGACACCTTCTCGGAGGCGGCGGCGGCGGCGCCGTGGGACGCGGCGGACGCCACGACGTGCGAGGCTTGCCCGGGCTGCACGCGTGACAAGGAGCTGCGTCAGCTCCTCAGCCAACAGGCCGCCCTCGAGTGGTGGCGGCTTGCGGCGGTGGCGCTCGGCGCCGCCGCGGCCGCGGCGCTGCTGCTCCTGGCGCTGGGCGGGCTCGGCCCAGCCGGCTGTTGCGGCTGGTGCTGCCTACGCCGGGCGGCCGCGCGCGGCGCGCGCCGGGGCCTTCGAGCCCAGAAGGGACTCCGGCTGGGCAGTCCGCCACTTCGGCGGGGCGGCCGCCAGCCTCGCATGAGCTGCTCGCCATCCCCGCCGTCCAGGAGGTGCGGCGCAAATGATGTCCCACGCGCTGGCCATCGAGGCGCCGCAGGTCTTGGCGGCTGTCGACGACCAGCGCCAGACCTGGCAGCACTGCGTGCTGCTCCGGCGCTTCAAGGAGGCGCGATGGGTGGTCTTCACCCCGGATCGTTCGCTGGAGGTGATCGACTTGGAGAACCAGGAGCTGCTGCCGCTGGCGCGTGGCGCCCCTGCGCCGTCGCGAGCGGTGGCCGACTGCTCGCTCATGGCGCCTTTTTCCGACTCGGACCTCCTGGGCTGCCACGCCGCGGCGGTCCGCCTGGCGGTCGTCATGGGGGCCGAGGCATCCTTTGGCAGGCGGCTGTGGGCAGAGGCAACGCCTGGCGCATCGCCGACCCCAGTGTGCCCGTGTTTGGCCAGGAGGTGCTGTCGGACGAGGTCGCTTTGTCGGGGGTGGTGAAGGGGGCCGTGGCGCTCGCCAGCTGGGGCGAGCCGCGTCTGTGGCTCTTCGCGGAGCTGGTCCCCACGGCGGAGTACTCGTCTTGGGAGCGGGACAAGCAGAGCGGGTCGGGGCGCGACAGGCGGCTCCTCCCCGCGCGGGGCCGCGACTTCGGGTCTGGGCTCGTCTCGCCCTCTTGCAGGGTGTGGATTACCTCTGGCCCCAAAATCTCACGAAGCTCTCCGACTGGCCTCATGCGGGACCACGCGCTGTGGTGGACCTGGCACGGAGGGGGATCGTTCTGGGCCTGTCGCTCTTCACCTACCGCGCGTACTGGGCCTGGCAGTCGGTGTGCCCCGAGAGCTTGGTCTCCCTCGAGCACCGCGCGCACTGCCAGATCTTGGCGCGCGCCCTCGGCCACGATTGCCTGGGCGCCGGCAGCCTGACGAGCTTCGAGTTCTGGGCCTGGCGCATCCTCCAGATCGAGCGGGCGGTGATGGTCAACCCGAAGGCGCCCTCTTTCCAGGGGCTAGCTAAGGTGACGGAGCACGCCATGGACGAGGGAGGCGGCATCGCGACGCGAGAGTTCATGGCCTACATGGCGACGCTGGCCGCGCAGGAGGTGCAGATCCTCAAGCAGAACAGACTTACGGTAGGAGCTCGCGTCGCAGAGCAAGGGCGACCGATGCAGCCACGGAGGCAAGGACACTAATAACCAGAGCGGGAAGGATGCTTCCGCGGGGGGCAACGGCGGCAAGTGAGCTCGGGCTGCGTCCCCGAGGGAGTGGGGCCTCAGCTCCCTCGGGCTTCTCTGGAGGCATTCCTGCCCTTCCCCTTGGACTCCCGGCTCGCCGGCGAGTCTCTGCGGCGAACGACGTCGCCCAGGGCTCGGACGCTCTCGTCTCCGACGCTGCCGTGGCGCTGCCCGCGCTGTGGGGGGCGCATCCGCGGTTGCCGTTCCGTCGCCGGCGCCGAGCGAGCAGTCTCGCTTCGCGCGCTGTTCTCCTTTCGTCTCCTTTCAACGCCGGGCGGTCGAGCGGCTGCGCGTCTCCTCCGACCCGCGGCAGGTGGATCGGAGCGTGCCCTTTGGTAAGGAGGCGCCCGCCGACTTGCTCCGCTCCGTCGACCTCTGCGCCTTGCCCAGCGGCTCGGCGCTGGGGTGCCATGACATTGACGAGGTCAGGGCGACGAAGGGCGACCTGGTCCCGAAGGAGGTGGCGTCGGTCATTGCCCCAGAGGCCGCGAAGCTCATCGCCGCCCCCCATCTGCATATCCTGAAGCAGGACCCCGAGCTCCGCGCGGACGCGGACTCTGCGGCCCTCCGCAGCCAGCCCTATTGGGGCCCTCTCTCGCGGGGCAGTCGCGCCAAGAAACGGGAGTTCTTCCGCGCCCTCTCGGGGGCGGGCTCGGTCGCGTGGAGGTGGCGGATGCGCTGCCGAGTCGGGAGCGTTTCGTCCAGAAGAAGGACCGCGTGCTGCGGCAGGTGGTCGACGCGGGATGGGCCAACCGTGCGTGCCGCGCCCCGCCCTTCAGCCAGCTCGCCGTGCCCGGGGCCCTGGCGCGCTTCTCGGCCAGCGACGAGTCGTTCGGCGTGGTGCGCGCTTGGCTGTGCGCCTCCGACTCGGCCGAGCTCCGCGAGACGGGCAGCGACGAGCTAGCGGGCTCTTCCATCGACCTTACGGACGGCTTCTACCCGTTCAAGTGCGAGGCCCTTGCGTCCATGTTTGGTCTCGGGCTCGCCTGCGCGGCCGGGGGCGTCGCGGGGGGCTTCGGTACCCGGTTCCACGAGTCTTCGACGACGACTTGCAGACCTTCGACCCCGCCCAGGCGAGCTAGGTGCTGGAGGCATGTTTCCTCGGCGTGCCGATGGGCTGGTCCTGGGCGCTCTATTCCTGCCATGAGACGGTCTCTGGGGCGCTCGTGGGGCGCTCTCCGAGGGGCGAGGCGCGGCGCGAGGGGTGGGGCCCCCTGACATCCCGGTCGGGGGCGCGCAGCGGCCCGTCATCTTCGGCCCGCGGGCCCCCGCAATTGCGCGCCACGTCGACAACGTCAACATGCTGGCCAGCGGCCGTGACGAGGGGCGAGGGTCGCCGCGTCTTCGACCTCGTGCCGGGCGCGCTGCGGCCTCGGGGCTTCGGTCCGCGGGGCCGCGGCGTGCCTGCGTTCAAGTTCCTGGGATTGGTTTTTGACGGGCCTCGCCGACGGCTTCGCCATTCGCATCGGCGGCGCTGGCGCCTGTGGTCGGCCATGGGCCATGAGCCGCGTCCTGTCCACAAGGCGTTTTCGGGCGACGCCATGCGGGTGCTGCGCGGCAACCTGTGCGACCACTTTGGGCTGCGGACGCCGCGCCACTCCACTCTGCAGAGCGTCTACGTCTTCGCCCAGGAGAACCTCGGACCCTCGCCTTGCTCGCTCCTGCGCGACTTCTGGGGCGAGCCTCGGATCGCCCTGTCGCTGATCCCCTGTGTTGGCGTTGACCTGAAGCGGGCGCTGAGCCGCGCCATCTGTTGCTCTGAAGCGTCCTTACACGGCTGCGCCCTCCGCGAGACAACGGCGGGCTTGGCGGGGGTCTTCGACGGCGCCCTTCTGCCCCCATGCGCGGCGCTTCGAGCCGGTCGAGGGCCCAGTGCCCGCTGCGCCGAGCCGCCTCGCCCATCGCGGTCGCTGGAGCCTTGTCGTGGCCGGCGCCTGGCGGCGGGGCGAGGCGATTCACCTGCTCGAGGCGCGGGCGTCACTGTTTGGGCTGCGCCAAGCGGCGACCGCCACCTCTGACGGGGACGCGGTCTCGCTGGTGGACGACGCAGGCGACTTCCTGGCGCAGGAGCGCGGCCAGGCGCGCAACTGCGCGCTCAGCTGTTGCCGTCGTGAACCGGCGGCGTGGCAGGTCGCGGCTGAATTCAATTGGCGCAGGAGGCACTTGGACACCGATCGCAACCCCCTGGGCAAGGACTCGCGCCAGGCAGATCGTGGAGTCCTTCGACCAGGGGAGCCGCTGGTACTGAGCGGGCAAGTATGGCGCCAAGCTCGCCGTCGAGCCGATGCACTCTCCGGCCTCCTGCAGCGCGACCTCGCGGCAGCGGCCCAGGCCGCGGCGGCGCGGGCTTCGCCTGGTCGCTTTGCCCCGCCCCCGCCTGGCCAGCCCGCGGCGGCGTCACCGTTGCCTGGCCGGCGTGCTGTACGATTCGTCTTAGAGCTTGTCGCAGGCGGCGCTCATCTGTCTGGCGCTGCGCACGAGGCCAGGCTCGACATTGCCTTGCCCTTGGAGTTGGGAACCCGGTCGCGCTTCGTCTCATGATCGAGTGGGTCAGGGCTGGGTGAGTGTGGTGGGTGCGCCTCGGGCCCCCTGCGGGTGGGCGTCTCGTGCGCGCTCGACCGGGGCCCCCGAGTCTCCTGCTGCGCGTGTTTGACTGGCTTGTGTTCTCGCTTCGGTCTGGCGTGCCAGGCGGTGCTAGAGGCCTCCGAGCAGTTGGGGATCACCGTTGCGGTGGCAAGCCCTCTCGCGTCGCAGTTGTGGGTCTGGAAGCCGATGCGTATTGTCCTCGACAAACTTGGATGCTCGCGCATCGATTTCGAAATATGTCGGTTCAGGACTCCCTAGCGCAAACCTATTCGGATAGCCTCGACACGCGCGGGGCTCGAGCTGGTGATGGGACCTCGTTGCGCCTCCGAGCGCCCGCGCATCGTCTCTGAGGGTGAAGTCGCCACCCCCGTCATCGACTGATCATGCCCGCAGCGTCTGGGTCACCAGGCTGGCAGGACAGTGTCCTCCCCGCCTCTGCCGGGCGATCGCGCGGTGCGCGACCCGGGAAGCCCCCCGCTGGCGCCCGCTTCGATGATCTACTGCGCGGGCGCGGGCCGGCCTGGATGTGGGCCCATCTGGAGGCCGCTGCCCTTGCTGGTGGCGCGCCAGGAACCGCGCGGGGGCCTCTACCATCGGCAGGGAGCGCGCCGCTGGCTCCCGGGGCGTGCGTGTACCTGGCGAGCGGCGCCGCGTCGGCCCATGCTGCGGTCTTGGCTCAGCGCCCCGCCGCCGCCCCGCCAGCCTCGCTCGGCGCGCAGCATGCTCGCCGAGACCCAGCTGCAGTTCCAGTCGAGGGCCGCCCAAGCCAAGCGCCGACGCACGCCGGCAGCGCCCCGCGGTCCTCGGGGCCTGGCGCGCGCCCGCCGCCGACGAAGATGCCCTGGCCAGCGGCCTCGACGGCAGGAGCTGAGTCGCGGGGCGCCCGCGCCGAGCGCCGCAGCGCCGAGATAGTGCTGCCCCTCGAGTTGATGCCGACGGCCCCTGAGTGGCGCATGATCGTCCAGGAGACGACGAACCGGTGTGCGGCAGGCTTCGAGGAGTTCGAGGTTTGGGCGAGCTCCCGCGGCAAGACCGTGAGCCAGCTGTCCAAGGGCCCGCAGGAGCTCGACAACACACGGGGCGAGGCCACGAGCGTGGCCCAGGACGTCCGCTTTGGGGCCATGTTCGAGCTTGGCCTGGACAAGGGGCCGGGGGTGCCCCCGCGCTGCCGGCGGTCGCTCCTCGGATTTCATGGGGGCGATCCCCCGGCATCGGGGGGCCCCTGCCACTGGGAGGCGGCTGCGCTTCTGGCAGCCCACCTCCTGACGGAGCTGACGGAGAGCTCCCTGCTCTCCGTGTTCAGTTGCGTGGCCGTCGCGATGCATGCAGGGCGGCCTCTACGCGCGCCCGTCCGAGACGCTTGGCATCCTGCGCGATGGCGTCGTGGCGCCTTGGGCCACAGCCTACCAGGGGGTGACGGCGATCATGGCCCCCGGGCCCGTGCGCGCGGCTGCCGCGGAGGCGGCCGAGCTCCGCGGTCTCCGCGCGCCCTCGACCTTGGCGCCAGCGGCAGTCCGCAAGCGGCCGTCAGCGCGGCCAGCCCAGAACCGCGAGTTCGACGACGCCGTGCTCGCTCTCGAGGGGGTGGGCTTCGCGTTCATCCCGGAGGTTCTCCTGGCGTTGCAGCGGGCTGCCCTCCCGGACCAGCCCCCCCCGGCGCCGCTGACGTTCGCCGAGTACGAGCGCCGCGTCTTCAGCCGAGGCCCCGAGCTGGAGCGCTCCACATCGCGCCCCACTCGGCACGGCATGGAGGCGCGAGCTCGGCCACGCACTTCAAGTTCTACCTCAAGATGATCCAGAAGCGCGGGCGCTGGTGGGCACCCAGGAGTGTGCAGCGCTGCGAGAAGTCTGGCGAACTCCCTCGCCACCGCCATCCGCCACAGGATTGGAGAGAGCTCGAGCTGTGTCGCTGCAGTGCTGATTCTGGCAATACCCAGGGTTTCTCTTTCAATGGTCTCAGTTTGCCCGTGTCAGATGGCACTATCTTCCAGAGGCGGTCCGCCTCAGCTCGTCGAGACCGTGCTGATGCAGAACGTTGTGTTCTTTCGTCTCGAATGCGTTTTCTGTCATATCAGGCTGGCGCCACTCCGACCGTGTCTGGGGTGCGCCCGTAGTGGCCCCCCGCTAGCTTCAGAAAAATCTGCCGTTTACGATTGTTTTTCCTCCGCGGGAGGGGGTGGCTGCGAAGCTGTCCCGCCTTGCCCGCCCTTTGTGTTGGTTCCGTCCCGTTCGCTTTTGGAGAGAGCTCGAGATGTGTTGTTGCAGTGCTGTCCCCGGCAACGCTCAGGGCCTTCCTTTTTCTCTCAATGGTCTCGCTTTGCCGGTATCAGATGGCATCGTATCTTCCCGAGGCAGTCCCGTCGAGACTGTGCTGATGCAAAGCATTGTTTCCTTTCGTATCGAATCCGTTTTCTGTTATTTCCGGCTGGCGCCACTCCGACCGTCTGTGGAGTGCGCCCGTAATGCCCCCCGTTAGCTTCGGAAATGTGTATACGTATATAAGCATATACACAATCCGGCTGTGTGTAGGATTTCAGAACATGTGATTCTAGCCATGTATGTTTTGTTCATTGGGAGCGTTTTGTTGCGTCCACGTGGTTCTCCTGCGGCAGCGTTGGCCTCATTTCGGGCTCGCCGATTTGCCCTGGTCGCCAAAATGGCACTCTCGCCCCAAAGCGGCCCACACTTCTGGATCCGACTTTGTCGTCGTCAGCGTCGCCCCCTGGTACTCTGGCTCCTCCCGTTCCTCCTACGCCTGTTTCTGCTGCTGCTGCTCCTCCTCCTCCACCTCCTCCGCCTCCTCCTCCTCCTCTTCCTCCTCCTCCTCCTCATTCCTCATCCTCTTCTTTCTCCTGCTCGTCCTCGTGCTCATTCGCCATATCCCCCTCTCGCTCCCTTTCCTCTTCCAATGTGCACCGCTCCCCTGTCGGATTTCGCAGAATACGATGGGGGGTTCGGGCCCGCTATGACACCCGCCGGCGAATAGAGATAAAATCAGCGCAATGGGAAGCTATGAGTGGGAGGGGCAGGATGTCCGATATGGCGCATGGCGCGAGCGCATCTAGTTTGCCTCCCCCCAAGCCCCCCTCCCCCCTTCCTTCGAAGCCTTCCCTCCATCCAAATTCCCAACGCCTCCAACTCCCAAAGTCCTTCTCCCTTTCTATCCCCTCACCTTGCCTTTTCCCCCTTCTTCCCCCTCCCCCCTCCCCATCTTCCCTTCGCTCCCCTTCCCTCCTTTCTTTCACCCTGCCTTCTTGCGTCCTTTCCTCTTGCCCTGCCCCCTCCCATCCCCCCCTCTCCGGCTGGTGCGCCTTCGAGGGTAACGATGCCTCCTGAAGGAGTGGGAGGAGGAGGGAAGAGAAGGAGGGGAAGAAGCGAAAGGAGGGGAAAGAGGAACGGTGATCTGTAGAGTCTTTCGCGCGCCATTTGCTGTAGCAGTGCAGGGCGGCTGAGCGGATGCAGCTGCGGGATGCTGGCCGCGCACGTGTGATCTTAGTCCTCCTCCTCCTCCTTTTCCTCCTCCTCCTCCTCCTCAGACCTCTATTTAACTCTAGGTGCACGGGCCCCACCAAGGTCGGTAGCGGACACAAAGTGATCCGATGGGGCCAGCGGGGATCTTTGAGTTCTGTGGTCATCATGGCCTTCACAAAATGTGAGTACGTCAAGAACTTTAAAGAGGATTGTAAGGGCCACCCAAGACTAAGTCGACCCTGGCCAACGTTCGCTCGCAAGTCAAGGCATTGGCTGCAGGACGGGAGCCGAAGTTGGGGCGGCCCGTCCCTCTTCGTCCCAGGGGCCGCCCCCCACGCGGGTTTTCGGTCCCTGGCCGACGCCTCTCCGCCCCCCGTCATCCTGCTAGGCCCGTGCGGGAAGCCGCACCCTTTCGGTGCTCTGTGTCAGGCCCTGCTGGGCATCGGAGCTTTGTGCACCTATTCGGCCCCCTCCCGTTCCTGTGGGTTCGGTTGGAGGTCACGTTCTGGACCCCTCCTCAGACCTCCGGGCGTCGCGAGCACAAATACGACTTGCGTTTCCTCGCCACTTCGGCTTCCGAGGGCCGTTCCCTGGCTCCAGGGCCGTCAGAAATCACTGGCGACCATAACTTTATCCTGAGGAGGGGTCGAGAGCTCTGCTGGCCCACGTCGTGAAATATCCAGACGTCGGACGTCAAACAATTTGTTTCGATCCCAGCTTCTATCGTGTCTGGCGCCGGCTCCTCGAAGTGGAGCGGCGCAGTCAGTCGGGCAATACTTTCCTTTCTCATCCCTTGCTTCTGCGCGCGCGTGCTGGCAGGAGAGATGGCCATAGCCATTCGGATTGAGGCCAGTCTGAAGGGACGACGTGGTCGCCGAAAGCCCCCTAAAGCGCTTGGAAAGGCGAGCCGTCCCAATCACAGAGGCTTGACTATCATTTGTTGTATTATGTGGTCCTCCTCCTCGTGCTCTTCCTCCGCCTCGCCCTCCCGCTTGACAGGCGCAACCCCGAGCACCGCATCGAGCGGGAGCAGCAGGAGACCCGCTGGAACGTGCACCACCCAAACAAGTAGTAACTCAGTTCTTTTCGGTCCAGACTCTTTCCTGCCAGAACCGTTTGTTCGATCCCAGAGATTATGTTGTCGGTCTTCCCTTCCCTTCCTGCTGCTGTTCCTTGTCCTCCTGCGCCTCCCACTCCTGCTCCTGCTCCCGCTTTTGATATTCTTCCCGCCTCCTGGTCCTTTCGTTCTTGCCTCCTCTGGCCTCCTGCCTCCTGATGCTCCTCCCTCCCCGTGCCACCTCCTGGTGTTGCCCTTTCTTGCCTCCTCCTCCTCCTCCTCCTTCCCTTCGTGCTCCTCCTCATCCTCCTCCTCTCGCTCACGCTGGCTCCCGGTCCAGCTCCTCCACCCTCTTCTCCGCTTCTCGCTCGTGTTGGGCGCTTGGCCTTTCTTTTCGCTCCCGTGTTCGTCCCTGCCCCCCCCTCAACAATCTCCCTCCCTTCCTCCTTTTCTGATTCGCCTTCTTCTTCTTATTATTATTTGTATTCGTAGTATTAGTTCTATTAGTCGTATGATTATTATTATTAGTATTATTATTATTAATGTATTTATTTATTTATTTATTTATTTATGTATGTATTTATGTATTTATGTATTTATTTATTTACTTATTTATTCTTTTCAAACTATTTATCATTATTACTATTACTATTCTTATTCGTAGTATTATCATTAACATTATTATTAGTATTCTTATTAGTATTTCTAGTATCATTATTAGTCTTACCCGTATCAGCAGTACTATTCGTGTGATTATTGCTATTATTATTATTATTATTATTATTATTATTAGTATTATTATTATGGGTATCAGTATTGATAGTATTATCCATCGTATTATTATGTTGCTTTGTTCTTCTGATTAGTATTGTTTGTTTTCTTCGCGTTCTTCTCCTTATTCTTCTTCTTCATCCTCCTTCTCCTCCTCCTCGATGTCTGGATGCTGCGGGCACGTGTGTCAGCTGCCACGCTGCCATCCCCTCCTCGCCGGCCAACGCCGCTGGGGAGGGCGAAAGTTAAGGCAGCACACGAGTCGACCTGCTGCTGTTGCTCCATGTGGATGCAACTCCTGGGAGTTTACATTTACCACTGGCGCTGGTATGTCTGTGGTCGAAAACCAGCATCCGCCTATTTGACTCCCAGTGTCAGCCAGCTTGATCGGGCTTAATCCTGGGCCTCATCCGGGCTAGTCTGGCTTTCTGGCATTGCTAACCAGGCTCGCTAGCCCCTCCTCGCTGTTTCCAAGACCTCCCAGTTGCCTTCTAACCGCCTTCCTCCCCTCTTCCTTCCCCACCCAGAGTCCAGCAAGGCATGAGGGTGCAAACCAGGCCTGTCTGGCTAAGGCTCTGGGAGGGGCCTCTGCTCAGGGGAAGCTGCAGCACCGCCCAGCGATGTGCTGTCCATCTTTCTGTGCACCTCAGCTTTGGCTTCGGCTTCAGCGGTGGGTGCGCCGTGAGGCGCCTTCGGGCCAGCTCACCCGAGTCGGCTTTCCGCATGCACTGGTGTCTCCCTCCCTCCCCCTCTTTCTTCGAGGAGACCGACTGGAACGAGGAGCACCCCGAGCTGCGGGCACTCGACTTTGACTGGGGCGCGGCCCGGAGCATGCCGCAGATCCCGGCGGGGATGTTCACCGAGGACTCCCCGAGAGCCGCCAGTCCCTGCGGGGGGGAGGGGGGAAAGTTTCGGGTTCGAGGTTCGAGGTTTTCGACGACGACGACGCAAACGACGACGACGACGACGACGACGACGACGACGACGACGACGATGACGAGGTTCGAGGTTCAAGGTTTTCGGGCGTTTTCGTTGGTTCTCGGCGGCTTTCCGGCCTCGGATTATGGTGTATCAACTTACTTTAGCCTTGATCACCCGCAAGAATTTCGAGCACCAAAAATCGCACCGAAACTCGAGGGTTTTCACGTGTCGGGCCCTGGGAGACACTCGTCCGACACTGTTTCGACACTGTTTCGACACTCTTTGGACACTTTTCTGGGTGCTCGAAATCATTTTTGGGACGTGGTCCGTAAGGACGATGGACGCAACATAAGCCTCGGGGTGCCGTCCAGCGGCTGCGCCGGGATTGGGGGATTCTGGGGCAATGCTCGCTGCGGGAGCCAATACAATACAGTTCCCCCTTCGGGACACAATACAATACCCCCAGGCGAGCCGGGAATACACGCAGTGGGCGTTCTGGGGGTGCCCAGATGCTGCCGATCGGCTGCTGGAGAGCCGAGATATGACCCGAAAGCCAAGGGGCAACGACAGCCCCCCGCCTCTTCCCTCGATCCTTCTCCTTTCCTCCTCGATCGCCGGTCATTCGCGTAGTCGTAGTCATAGTCTTAGTGATTGTCATCGTCATCGTCACAGACATAGTCATAGTCATAGTCATATTTATTGTCACAGCCGTAATCATAGTCATAGACAACGTCATAGTCATAGTCATAGCCACAGTCATAGTCGGAGTCATGGTCATAGTCATAATCACAGCTGTATTTATAGAGCCATAGAGTCATAGAGTCATAGAGTCATAGAGCCATAGAGTCATAGTCTTAATCGTAGTCGTAGGCATGGTCATCGGCACAGTATACATAGTCTCAGTCGTAGTCGCATCCATAGTCACAGTCACCTAAAAAATCATAGTCATCGTCATAGTCATAGTCGTAGTCATAGTCATAATCACCGTAATAGTCATAGTCATAGTCATCGTAATAGTCATAGTCATAGTCATAGTCAGTCATAGTCATAGTCATAGTCATAGTCATAGTCATAGTCCTAGTCATCGTAATAGTCCTAGTCTTAGTCCTAGTCCTAGTCCTAGTCCTAGTCCTGCCCTAGTCCTAGTCCCAGTCGTTGACATAGTCATAGTCATCGTCATCGTCATCATGATCATCATGATCATCATGATCATCATGATCATCATGATCATCATGATCAATATCGTCCTCCTCCTCCTCCTTCTCTTCCTCTTCTTCCTCTCCGTACCGCCCAGTCACCTGGGAGGTGGGAGGAGAAGGAGGAGGAAGCGGCGGGGAAGGAGGAGGAGAAGAAGGAGGACTGAGGAGCCTGGATCCCAGAATGCATCCACGTGTTCATCATCATCACCATCATCCTCATGATCATCATCATCATCATCATCATCATCATCATCATCATCATCATCATCATAATCATCATCAGCATCATCATCAGCATCATCAGCATCATCAGCATCAGCATCAGCATCAGCATCAGCATCAGCATCAGCATCAGCATCAGCATCATCATCATCATCATCATCATCATCATCATCATCATCATCATCATCATCATCATCATCATCATCATCCTCCTCCTCCTCATCCTCATCCTCATCCTCATCCTCATCCTCATCCTCATCCTCATCCTCATCCTCATCCTCCTCCTGCTCGTCGTCGTCCTCCTCCTCCTCCTCCTTCTCCCTCCTTTTCCTCGGCCCTTCCCTTCCTCCTCCTCCTCCTCCTCCACCTCCTCCTCATCCTCCTCTTCCTTGTACGAAACTTCCCCGCCTTTCCCTGCCGCACCACCATAGGTGTCCGTACGCCAGGCTGGGCGTTTCGCTTGAAAATTCGTTGCAACTTGCTAGCCTGAAGCTAGAAAGCCCAGCGTCTACAAGGATGTATGGCCGATGGTTTTCAGAATGCGGATCTCGCCTCAGCGCCGCGAGCATCCGTTCGGCACGTTTCCAACACTTACAAGGTTGGAAGGCCTGTGGTTTTCAAAACGCGGCCACCGCCTACCGCGCACATGCCTTTGTAGATGTTGAAGCAGCTGCAGGGACAGAGGTCGGCTTGTTCTCAAGATGTGGCTCTCGCTTGAGACCCCCCCCACGTCCTATAGAGCCCGGGCGCCCGGGTCGTGCAGTGGCGTCACGGCCGGAGGGCAGTTTCTTTAGCTCAAGCGGGGCCGACGCTGGACGGTTCCTCGAATCGAATCCTCCTGCTTCTGGGCGCTGCTTGCAACTGAAAGGACGGAGGCTCAGGAGGAGGAGGAGGAGGAGGAGGAGGAGGAGGAGGAGCAGGAGCAGGAGGAGGAGGAGATCCTCTATACAACGAGTCAGAACGCCGTCTCGCCTGGGCGGCAGGCTCACCGCGCGCGCTCGTCGTTCGAGGGGGCGCTTCCCGCAGCGGAGAGGAGCACTTGCCGGGACCTGTGGGGAGGGGACTCGGGCACGGGGGGGGGGTGTATTGCAGCTTCGTTGGCGCATGGGTTTGCTCCGCCCCTGCTCCTATTCTTCCTCCCCTCTCCTCCTGTCCACCAGCCCTTCTGCTCCCCCTGCTCTCCCGTCCAATCCTGCTCCCCGCTCCCCGCTCCCCGCTGCTGCTGCTGCTGCTGCTTCTCCTCCTCATCCTCCTCCTCCTCCTCCTCCTTTGCGACCTTTGCGAGCAGGCTCCACGTCGCTCGGGCGACGAAGCCTATGCCCTCGCCTGCATTGTGCAGACGAGGACGGCACGCGGACAGCGTGCCTACGCCTGAAGCGCCACGGGGGGACCCCCCAACCGAAGGCCTCAAGAGGCCGAGAGGCCGCCAGCGGCCAGGACGACGGGGGGCCACGAGGCCCCAGGAGCGGCCCCAGGGCGCACGGGGCCGAGGAGAGAGGAAGAGGAGGACGCCTCCAGGGCACTCAGAGGGGGGGGGAGGGGCCCGAGCGCCCCACGAGGGCGACAAAAACGCCAGAGACAGAGCGGAAACGAGGCACCCGACCCCCCAGGGCGGCGGAGGAGGAGGAAGAGGAGGAGGTACACTACGCGTCCAGCGCGGCGACGAGGAGGCGGGAACCGCCAGCCCAGGGAAAGGCCAGGAAAAAGGGAAAGAGAAGAACGGGACCCAGGGAGCCTATCACCGTCGTCCTGCGCCTCCACCATGACAGCCACATCATAGAGAGCACGTCGTAGCCCAGGCTGCGAAGTTATGTGGCTGCCAGGGGGGGACGAGCACGAAGGGAAAACGGTGAGTAGGGGCGGGTGAGACAGAGAGGGAGGGGGAGGGAGGGGGCTCATCAAAGGCCTGAGGGGGGGGAAGGTCTCACCCGACCCCTTCTAGGCGGCGGGCCCGCGGGCCCAGGTGTTAGAAGTCGCCGTTCTCCTCATCCCCCCACTCCTGTGGGGGGCGGACTGGGTGGAGTGCGTGTAGGGCTGGGAGCCACCGTAGACCTTGGTCTGGGAGGCGTCCCAGTCGAAGTGCTTGGGTCCCTGTTACGGACCGATCCCTGCTCGACTCTTTGTTGTCGTTGGTGCAGTCCCGAGCCCATTTTCTCGATCATTTGGTTGAGCTCGGGTATGGAGTCGATGAGGTATTCTCCGTGTTGAGCGTTATTCAGCGGCCTAATCACCGTGCAATCGATGTTGTTGTTGTAGCAGATGTTCATTGTTTTGATTAGGGCCCTAAGCGTCTGGTTGTGTCGTTCAATAGTCGTAGCCCATCGAGGTTGTAGGTCTGGGCGTCCCCAAGGCCATCGTAGGGTCCTGCATTGGTAGGCGGCATTACTTTCTGGGTCGTGAGGGTCATCCTGCCATGTGATGGTGGGCAGTTGTATGGATACCGCTGCGATGTAGCCTTGGTCGATCTGAGCCTGTGTGAAGTAGGCGATGCTGTCTGGCTGCTCGGTATATTGTTGGTCGGAGGTGAAGAGGTAGATAGAGTCCGCGATGTGGTCGTCGTTGTACCGCGGCGTCGTGGGGTCGAGGTCGGGCTGGTGTTGGAGGGTCGTGTCGGAGATGATGTGGAGTAATGTGGTAGGTGGTGCGATGGGTGGGCTGTGGGCTGCGGTCGCTGTCACTACTGAGGCTGGGTGGTCTGGAGTGGGCGGTAGCTGAGGGTATGCATGGGTGGGCGTCGGAGAGTGGTCGAGTCGTGGGATCAGGTCGACGACGGTCTTGTGGGCTGGTTTGTCGCTAAAGTAGTCGGGTCGACCGCTCAGTCGGTTCTCGGTGATGGCCTGGCGGTACCGCTCGTTGTTGGCCAGTAGTTGCGCGTCGGTGAGTGGCTCCTCAAAGCTTGCGTGCCATGCATACCACGAGCGGCAACATCTGGAAGTGGTCCGTAGGTGCTTGATGAGCCTAGCGTAGCTGTGGAACTCGGTCGCGCAGCATCGGCAGGCTGTCCCCGTAGCCCAGTGGAGGGGGTGGCTGTGGTCTTTGTGTTCTCGTCCCATGTGTACAGCCATGCCTTTCTTGGTGCAGGTGGTAATGCCGCATTCGTAGCATATGAACCGTTGGTGGTGGTGTGGTGTGTCGTCTTGCCCGCAAAGCTGTCGTCGTAGGGCGTCGTTTCTGCTGCATCTGGTCGTGTGGTGGACATACGCCTGTACTGCGGTCTTGACGCATCCCTGGAAGTCGTTGGGTGAGGCTCTGGCCCATTGGATGATGCTGGCATCGCTGTGGTCGGAGGAGGGCCATCGCTTGTCACGTAGGTGCAGGCGGAGGAAATCGAAGTCGGTGCGGAGGGCGTTAGCCCATGTGCCTTGCCGAGCGTTCTGGGAGTCGAGTAGGGCAAGGAGGGGGGCGGGAGCATGCCGTAGGAGTCGAGGTAGGTAGCGGAGCCTGGCTGCAGCCTGGTGGGTCTTGAACTCGGGTATCCCAGTGGTGGCAACTACATCAGCTGTGGTGAGGTGATGCTGTGGTGTGTTGGATTTG